AGCAGAAACCGGGATTCCGCCAAAATTGGACAGCTCTGGCCATAGCTCACCACCTCGCGGGAAACTATGAGGACGCAGAGAATGTCCTCACCACATACGAGGAGACACTCAAGGCAAAGCCGAACAGGTTGGATATCGAACACTGGGAAGCCGTACTCTACAAGAATTACATCATTGCAGACTCGGGCGAAGTCGAAAAGGCGCTCGATCACTTGGAGGCCGTAGGGAAGAAAAGCCCCGATGTCCTTGCAGTGATGGAAATGAAAGCAGACTACCTCGCGAGATTGGGTCGAAAATCGGAAGCCGAGGCAGCGTATGCCGCCTTGCTCGCGCGCAACCCGGATGACTCTGCATACTATGACGGGTATATCGCTGCTAAGGGTCTGACCGATGGTCCGGTGTCGGAGGTCAAGAAGGCGTACCAGGAGCTCGCAGAACGACACCCCAAAGCCGATCTTCCCAGACGGAGAGCTTTGGATGTCCTGTCCGGAGAAGAATTCAAACAAGCGGCAGACCAATACCTGCAAAGAATGCTGCGAAAAGGGGTTCCTTCGACCTTTGCCAATATCAAGCACCTTTATACCGACGAGTCCAAGCGGGACATTGTTCAGGCGTTGGTAGAGGAATACGCCTCTGGGCAAGGACAATCACATACCAATGGAACCAAGGAGAATGGCGACAAAGAAGAAACACGCTTCCATTCCTCGGCTCTCTACTTCCTTGCTCAACACTATAACTATAAACTAAGCCGCAACCTGGACAAAGCTCTCGATTACGCCGAGAAATGTATTGCCCTGGACCCGAAATCCGTCGACTTTCACTCTGTCAAGGCTCGTACGTACAAGCATAAAGGGGAGCTAACCAAGGCTGCCGAAATCATGGACCAGGCGCGCTCCCTGGACGAGAAAGACCGCGCAATCAACACCAAGTGCGCAAAGTATCAGCTTCGATCCGATCAAAACGACAAAGCCCTCGAGACGGCGAGTAAATTCACCCAGAACCGCACCGGAGGCCCGCTGGGTGACCTCGTTGATATGCAATGCGTCTGGTATCTGACAGAGGACGGGAAATCCTACTTGCGCCAACGAAAACTGGGTCTTGCGCTGAAACGATTTCACCAGATACTCGGCATCTTTGACCTGTGGCAAGAAGACCAGTTTGACTTTCATAACTTCTCTCTTCGCAAAGGCATGATCAGAGCCTACATTGACATGTTGCGATGGGAGGATCGCCTGAGGGAGCACCCTTTCTTTTCCAACATGGCCGTCTCCGCGGTGAAAGCGTATCTGCTGCTATTTGACAACCCGGATCTGGTCCATGGACCGATCATGGATACTGTCAACGGCACCAGCAAGGCAGGAGAGATGAGCGCGGCAGACCGCAAGAAGGTGCTCAAGAAGGCTAAAAGGGAACAGGAGAAAATGGAAAGGGCGGAGGCAGAAAAGAAAGCGGCGTTGAAGGCGAGCAAGCCCACGCCCAAGATTGACGATGGTGAAACTAAAAAGGAAGACCCCGACCCTTTCGGCAAGACTCTCATTGAGACGAAAGAGCCCCTGAAGGATGCGATGAAGTTTCTAGGCCCGCTGTTGGAGTTCTGCCCGGACGTCGCAGAGGCGCAGGAGGTTGGTTTCGAGGTGTTCCTCCGAAGAAAGAAGTACCTGCTTGCGTTGAAGTGTCTGCTAGAGTTGCAGCGCCTAGGAGCTAAAGAAAGCGAGGTGACAGAGTTGGGATCAAGATTGAGAAAAGCATTCGACGGGGACGAGAAAAACGTGCCAGAGCCGGTTCGGGAGATTTTCAAGGCGGAAATAGGGAAGCTGGTTCAGTGACAACAGATGTATCACATATCCAAGAACATGGGGCGATTCTGAAAGTCGGATCCGGTTCTACGACGCATCTACGCTCCAAGACAGACTTTGATTCTACACATGTTACGGCCGGAGAATTGCCACAGAGACGATGAGACCATTTTCGGCGAAGGCTGCATAAAAAGTTTTGGGAGTCATCCGTGTGCTACTAGAAACATGGTGGACGAAATGAATGTTGAGACACGAAGGCGATCTATTCTTCCGGGGTTGTTCTCCCTCGTCTTTGTCGTGGTCTTTGTTCTTTGTGAGCAATCTGCGGCAGAAAAGGACGGATAGGGTTGGTGGAACGTGGAATGTGTAACAGTGTGTGTATCTGAACGACGGTAAATGTCTAGAGACACCTCGATCGACCGAGCACGGAAGAGATGTCTTAGGAGGAGGAAGAGGAAGACGAGAAGAAAAAGAAAAACAAAGGATATTGCTTGCCCCTTTCTGTAATGCATACCAGGTCAAATGGCACTCAAGAATCAAATCGAACAGATCTCCTTTCCATGTACAAGGCAGGGCCGTTCGATGAGGGACAAATCGATGGGCAAATACATACTACACTACAAGACGGACCCTCGTTTCGCCATACTTTTAGTCGTAGTCGTTGTATGTGTTGCCAGTCGAATAAGGGGGGCATGAATAGAGATACGCATATTGTACGTTTCCGTGGCGCCATATCTACACATACAAGCACACGCACAAACACATATATATATACACACAAGTCAAGTGTCCCGTAGACGCATACAAGATGTCTCAAAGAACATCGTCACCCTAGGCAAAATCCTTGGTCGCTCCTATCCGTAACATGCAGTTGTTGCTTGAAAAAGGAAAAAGAAAAAGGTATCGCTGGACACCCAACGCCCAACCTAGTACGGATCCCATTCCAGCCTGCGTTCCAATAGGTACGACTCGACGGGCAAGCCCCTCCAGACCGATGACCCGTTGACAACTTTGAAGAACTCGGGCTCAAAGCTCACGCGAGCCCAGCCGTGAATGACCTTGCGCCAATAGCAGACTTCTGCCGCCGGCGTGAGATACTGCTCGCGGAACGTCCTGACGCTGTTCGCCGCGATGCGCTCCGCCTCCTTGTCGTGGTTCTGCAGCCACGAAATCTTTTGCTCCAAATCCTCGAAGCTGCGCTCAACCTCGAGATAGTTCTGCTGCGGCCCGCTGGATCGCATGAGCGGGTGGTGGTGTTGGATCCAGTCCATCTTGTGCGCGACCACGACCGACTTGCATGCTTGCAGGTACTTTAGACGTCCGGAATACGAGTTGCCTTCGGTGTGTGCGAGATACTTGTACTGACAATGCTCGGCCATGGACTTGAGGTCCTGGGTCATGGACTCGGTGTTATGCCAGTCCAGAGCCTTGACGTCGGCCCAGGGTTTGTCGGCCGTCACCTGGATCAGTCGTTGACGCAGTTCCAGACCCATAGTCGCGCCGCGCCAAAGCAGCTTGGCGACCTTCTCGCCCCAACCCCATCCCTCGACCTGTTCCGCCAGGGCAGCTTTCATCTGCACTTCGCGCATCGAGCCCACCTTAGTCTCGGGCCAGGACCAGTAGCCGAAGTCCGGGATGAGCCAGATGTGAGTGTCTTCTGCACGGCGGGCGTAACCCCACAAGGGGACCGAGGGGATGCGGTCGTCCGTATTGAATGCGAACTCAATGTTGGGTAGAGGTTCCGGAGACGTCAGAATGGCGCGGTGCAAGGCATGTAAGGTTGCGATCTCGCGAGAGTAGATGCCTCCTGCAGTGGCGATAACATAGAGCTTTACCAGTAGATAGCAGCAGTCAGCCCAGAAGATTCAGTAGTCGTGCATGGGGTAGTCCTGTGACAACCCCTCTTTACACGGCCAAAAACAAAATACATCGGTGGTGTATACCTGTTGATTATAGATCATGGCACGAACATAACCATTTTGCTTTGGCATGGCGTCGATCTCTTCAAACGTGATGGGATTGTGCATCCTCTGATTCACCGGCCTCTCAACTTCCTCGAACAGGCCGGGGAAGGCTTGTTCACATTGCTGCGAGTCCAGCATCAAGTTTTCCGCGTCCCTCCTGTAATCCCAGTGGCCATCGAACCCTCTCTTTCGCCCATATGCGCCGTAGTCGCTGTGCAACAAGGGGGCCGAAGGTCCGTGGGCCGATCTATACCACGCGAATAAAGCGAACGTGCAAAGGACGGAAAGCAGCACCAGGGGAGTGCGTCGGTTGAATGTCGCTAAAAGGGGTTCTACGGCGTGGTCGTAAAAGCCCCTCCTCGAGGCAGGCATGTGCATCATTAGGACTGGCAGAGGGGACTGCTTGCTCTCATGATTAGGAGGCGCGGCGCATCGAACGTAGAAGGGGACAAGGCATAGGGAGAACAAGTCAATCTAGGAGTTACACGTTGGAATGAATAGCAGCAAAAGCGACCATGGACGTTGTCCGCAGCCGGAAATCACATCCTGTCGTCGGTACATGTCAACTCCCGAGATGACCTCGATGAGTAAGATGCACATGGGCATTGGACGGTGGGTGGACGGCAGCGGCAAGGTGATGACGTTGCTGTTTCGTGTTGTTCTGTGCTCAGCCCTAGCGTACCTGAGTGATATCAATGATCACCCGTAAGCCATATCCACACGTGACAAGCCGTTACGCCAAGACTAAATGCCAAGACACCAAGGGGTCGTGCCGATATATACGAGGTAGTTTGTGTAATCTTGGCTCAGATAAGGTTTTCGCAACTATATATTTCCGTCCCGAGCCGCATGGCGCACTAGGCTTCTGACGGTACTTCCTTCGCACTTACGTCATTTGTCCACGACTTTGTTTACACTGCAGTTGGATTTCTCTGCCGCACAGGGCAAGACAGGGACAGCAGATCTGAGAAAGGGTCAACACACAAAGGCTGTTCAGAAAGGTGATGGATAAGAATGGTAGAATCCACGATCGGAATGCAAAAGCTTCTTTGAACTGTCTGCGCCTCGATTGTAGCATTGAAAGGCATCTCCTGTCCTGGCTCCTTTTCCCATCTCCCCCCTTTGATCCCTTTTTCGAAAAACTTCAGCCTATGCCTGAATACATTCCATGCTTCGAATGCCCTTGGACCGTCCCTTAAAGCCACGACCTGCTTGAATGTTTCCCTCGGTAAACCCCTCCTCACATGATAACACAACACGTTCTGGTGGATCGCCGTGCGGCTGGCGCTGGCCCTGCGTTCGGTGCTGGAGGAAAGGCATGAGGTGCAAGTGCAGGTAGAGGTGCAGGTGCAGGTGGAGCCGTATATTCCATAGTTATCCAAAAGGCCATGTTTCTAGCATCAAGATGCATCAACGTTAGGGCGTTGGCACCCTGTTGGATTCCAAAGCGTACGGTGTTGCCGATAGGTGTACGAAGCAAGGTGTTGTATTGGGGGTCAGTGGCCCTGATCGTTACTGCTTGACCAGGTTCTGGTGTCACCGAGCTATAGACCTGATCGAACACTGCTCGTGTTGTGGGTTCGATGACATTCGTGATAACCAGGTATGGGATTTGTGCAAGGGTCATATGGCGTTGCTGACAGAACCGCTCGACCAAGTCGTTTTGGTGGAGCGGAGAACCTTCCGCAGTGCTCAAGTGGTCTATCCGGACGATGTCAGGTGTTGGTATACTGATCGAAATCGATGCCTTAACTAAGACATGGCCATTGGCTGTGAACTGGCAGTCAAAGGTATCGAACCTAGGCTCTCCTGGTACTCCGAGCGCTCGCCAAAGATTACCGAGGCCTAAAATCCTCATATTTTGCTGGCCTGGGACTTCCACATATTGCGCTTGATTTGCGGCCATTTTGTGCTTGGTTCTTCTCTTTTTGTATGTCGACTATTTGATAGTTTTCGTGTCCTGATGCCTTCTTTTCGCGGGCGGTGAAAGGGGCGTTCAATGAGGGCGATTTTACGAAAAGACCTTGGAGATGTCTTTTGTTCTTACGTCTTATATGTGTTGTGGTTTCTGATCCGGACACAGCAGACTGACGGGCTAAGTGGGATGAAATGATACCATGACCTCTCCGTGGATCGCGCTCACTGGCAATACTGAACTTCCGGTTCCGTTGGAGTAGCATACACCTCGGACCCATCCGCCACGCCTTCTATCCACATTGTATTCCTACATTTCCCTATTCTTAGGTGATACGATACTAAAGATACTCCTGAATGCCTATACTCTCTCATGTCATGAGAGGGGCGACCAGGTATAAGCCTCCCATCTCGTTTTATATATAGGAATCGGTGTCCAGACGCTCTCGTTATCAGGGCCACTTCTGTGGTCATGGAGGAAATTCTACCCATTCGACGAGACTAAAATAAAATGGGAGCTTCTTGCTGTCTTAGTGCTGACAAGACGGTGGTGGGCGTAATGCCTGAATGTGTTTCATCGCCACGATGCTTTTGACTCGGCTAGCGGCTGTGGCCGGACAGAACGTGAGAGGGGGGAAAACCAGAAGCAGGCCATATCATATCTTTGGATCGTTTCTTGGAACTTCTAGACACTTGTCGAGGCCAAACCGGGCTTTCAAACTATAAAGAGCCAAAGGAAAAGTCGTCAGAAGTCCAGTGGCTTGACATTGCAGCACCTGAAACCTACGAACTCCCGACCTCTGAACACCAACACCCCGATACCTTCTGCGCATACATCACACAACATGGCGTCTCGATCGAACCCATACGGCTCCTATATGCCAGCTCCCACCAGCAGTCGACCTCCAACAAGTACGCAGGGATACAACGGCCACCCTATGTACAGCCAACCCATGCAATCTATGTACGGCCAACCCATGCAACCTATGTACGGCCAGCCGATGCACGGCCAGCCTATGTACAGTCAAGCACCACCGAGTGCCCCGCAGCCGACAGCTTCAGCCACCTCGCTCGATGAAGTGTCTCGCTTGTTGACAGCTTTTTTTGGCGCCACTCAATCGACAAGGGCCCCAAGCGGGTATGGTTACATGCCGCAGCCAACCGCCCTGAGAGGCCCGGGGGTTTCGACCAGACCGAGTTCGACTACAACTCAAGCACCCAGGCGAACGGCCCCATCAGGAACTCCGTCGAGACGCTTTTAGTGCACCAGTATACCAAAGGGCCTGATGAAGGCCGGGCCAAGTCATTCTGGCAGGCAGATGGGAAAAACCTTTCGGACGATGTGAGAAATGGCGGGGGGGCTATGTACGAGGTATCTGACCCGAAAAAGATTGGCGTCGAAATCTGTTTCGAAAACAGCAAGTGGAAAGGGGGGAGGGAGGGACGTGATTGGTTTTTTTTCCTTTTTCTGGCTCTTTCCGTACCTCAATACCTGACTCAGATATTTCCAAGCCACAGAGTACATGCTCGTTTTTCAATCCCCACCACCCACCTTTGGTCTTCTCATAAGCATCCACGCTATCCGACGAACCTGTACTCGGTCCAGCTTCGGTATCGAGTACGAGGTATACATTAGATACCACAGAAGGACATGTCAAATCACGATTTGTTACGATACCTCTTAGATACCTGCTTCGGAAAACCCGTCAACACAAACCTTGGTGTCTTCGCTATCAGGGGAATAGCTAGTAAGGCTTCGTAGCACCCTGACCTTGAGGGAGAAGTTTGGGGGAAGGTGGCGCCTCCCCTTCCTTATCAAAGTGGTTTTACGTCGCAATTTCTAGCCAAGAAAGGGGCCTTCTCTTGGTGGGGGTTTTGCGACTAGGTACGCGTTCACTAATCTCTGGCGGTGGTTGGCGCTACACCGGATCGTTTTTCTACGAGGTGTAGTGCGTGTAGCTAACAGCCTGACTCGCTTAGAGGTAGCCATTCGTAGTTAGTTGAGTGGAGTGTGGACCCACCACTCTCAGCCCCGAGGACCCGCCTCCCTCGTGACTCGCGATGTAATAGCCCTACGATGTCGAGTAGTACTTCCTCATTCGGCTTGTCAAAAGCCCCGAACAGATCCCGCTCTGGTGTGCTACTAAAGTGAGTTCCACTCGTACTCGTAATCGTACTTGTACTTGTATACTGGTCCAGCCGACCCGCGTAAGCAGGTCACAGTCTGTGAATACCTACATACAAGTAAGCGTACTCCGGAAGACTGTGTATGTCCCCCTGAGGAAATTGCAGGGTGGGGGTAGGTGTTCCGTTTTGGTAATACCATAGCATCATTCTTTGCACAAAAGAGATGGAGGAAATTTCTCGCAAGAGGGGTGAGGTTCGCCTTAACATCGATTCCGTAATACAGTCCTTTTTCTGTCTCTGTCGAGGTCCACACCCTCGCCCCCCCTTCCCTCTGCCATAGAGATTTGAGCTATTCTCTCTCATCCTGCCAACTTTATAGACAGAATTGGTCTAGTGGTCTGGGTAGTGCTCGTGATGAGGCACATCGTGCTCCTCACCCCCTTCGTACCCTCCTTCACCTCCGTGCTCTCCGTACCCGCCGTGGCCCCATTCACCTTCACCTTCGCCTTCACCTTGATCCTCGCCGTGCCCGTCGTGACCCCATTCGCCCTGGTCGCCTCCATGGCCACCGTGACCCCATTCACCTTGATCTTCTCCCCACTCACCGCCGTCGTGCTCGCCACAGCCCCCGTGGTGCCCTCCATGCTCCTGGCTCTGGTCTCCACCTTCTTGATCCCACTCCCCCTCCTCCTCTTGATACTCGTCTTCTACGCCGGCCTCACTCCCGGCATCCGAGTCCGAGTCCGAGTCCGAGTTGTCTTCCGACTCCTCGCCCATGAGATCGTGCTTGTAGGGGACGTGCGAGTTGACATCCTCGCCCTCGTGCGGGACGTACCTACCCGTATGCGCGTACTTGAACAGCTTGTACGAGTTCTTCACCTCTGGGTCGTCCGGGTCCATATCGCGAAGCTCCTTGGCGTGGCGCTTGAGCGCTCGGAGTATTCGACGGAGGCTGTTTTGCTGGTCCTCCTCCGAGACTGCAAAATACACCCCCCCAAAAAAACATCAGTATCAGTTCATTTTACCTCAAAAGGTTTTTGGGGCTTTGGGGGAAGTTCTCCCTACGTGAAGAGTCGCCCATGACCCGCTCATACTCGTCGATATGAGTGTCGATCTGGATTTTGATCGTCTGACGATAATCGACTTCTTCTTCATTCCCGTAGTTGCCGCTGTCATCGTATCCCTGGTCCCCTGCATCGCCTTGGTGTTGACTGTCGTCTTGGTGTTGGCCATCGTCATGGTGACCACTGTCGTGGTGGCTTTCTGTATCCATTTGCTCAAGTTTGTTTGGTTTGGTGGTGGTAAAGTTCGTGTCGCAGTGGTGGTCGAAAACAAGGGACCAATAGAATACGCAATCTGGCTGGTCTGTATATGCTAGTAGACAAAACTAGTTGCAGAAACACACAAATTCGATCAATGGCATCGTAAAGGAGAGGTCTAAGAGGTGGAATATCACGCGGACTTATACGGGCGAGCAGCAAGCCTCGAGCGAGGACAGGTAGGATCCCATGGCCTTGTCAGGACCACCCGCTCGACGCCGCCTTCAGCAACCGTCAGCACGAGGGGGTAAAAGGAATGGCAAAAGATGCTCTCGATGGACCTTCAGCAAGAGCAACACATCCGGGAGACAAAGGCTGTGTTTGCTTGTTGCCTCTCCGAATATAGAATCTCCCATTTCTATTCAGCGTAGGTAAATAAGCACTTATTCAAACTCGCTCTCTTCTCACGGGCTATCCTAGTTCCTCCGAAAGATACTGTCAAGCGTAGCCACAGCCAGGGAAGGGGGCCGTCAACATGTGTATTTTCATTCCGTTTGTTCTGGACCTAGGGGGCCTTCTCTTAATACCATACGACGCCGCCGAACACCAACCATGGGTAGTCCGAGGCTCCCACATTACTACACCAAAACCAAGAACCATAATAAGCAGATGAATGAGTATACGAAATGACACGAT